AAGACCAAGCCCTGGGGTACCCCACTGTTCACATCTCGCCAGGTTGAGTACGACCCATCCACCACTACTTTCTGGGTGCGCCCCATCAGCCAATTTTTTACCCATCCAACTGTGTAGGCATCAATGCCACAGTCGCCTAATTTATTGATGAGAATGGGGTGAGAGTGTCAAAGGCCTTCTTAAATTCTAGAAAGACTACATCCATGGCAATACCATCATCCAAGGATTTAGTTACTTGGTCATAAAAGACAACCAGGTTGGTCAGGCAGGACCTGCCTTTGATGAACCCATGCTGGTTGCCCCCAAGCATGATCTCCCCTGCTGGCCCCTCCACAGATGTGCTCTTTGATGATTCTCTCCAAGACTGTCCCAAGAACCAAGGTGAGGATTATGGGCCTATAGTTACTTGGGTCCTCCTTCCTCTCTTTCTTAAAAATTTGGACCACATTAGCTAGTTTCCAATCCCCCAGCACCTGGCCAGATGACCACAAATGCTCATACAGCCAGGCCAAGTGCTCCGCGATGACCCCTGCCAGCTCCCTCAACACCCTTGGATAGAGGGCATCTGGACCTGCAGATTGAAAAATGTCCAGCCCCTCCAGAAGATCCCTAACTACATCTGCACTGACTGAAGGCCTGACAGAGGTATCCCTGAGATTGTCCCTACCTCTGGTAGGAGGGATGTCCCAGTCCCTGTTCAAGAAAACAGAGGCAAAGAAACTGTTAAAAATATCAGCTTCTCATCTGGCATAGCCACAAGATTACCATTTGAGTCTTGCAGGGGCCCTAGATTGCCTGGTGCCCTCTTCTTCCTCCACATGTACTTGAAAAAGGACTTTTTGTTGTCCTTAATCCTGGACGCTAGCCTGAGTTCCATCTCTGCGTTGGTCTTCCTAATAGCCTTCCTACACTCATGGGCTGAGGAGGAGTACTTCTCTTTGGTGATAGCTCCTACGTTCCACTGGTTGTACGCCCCCCTTTTAGTCCTCAGGCATTCCTGAATGCCCTTGCTGAGCCAAGGGGGTTTCTGAGCACTCTTATGCCCCTTGGTGACTGTCTAGTTTTGAGACAAGGGCCACCGCTTCCTCTGTATTAGAACATATGGAGTGCCAATTCTGACAGTGGCCTTTAAGTGAAATATCTGTCACCAAGCTCTGCTATTAAGATAAGATATTGCAGACTTTTGTTTGAATTCCAAGTTTATTGACTGACAGCCCTGGTACCAGATTCCCTGAACTGCATACAGAATAGGCAAGGTTCTCTCTGGTTGCTAATAGCTTAGTCCTGATCCAGATGTCCAACCTACAAGGATGAGAGGGTCCATTACGCATTTGTTCTAGTACCAAGATGCCCAGTGAGTGTCAACTAATACCACTGGTGTACATCTGAGCCGACAACGTGGAAGAGGAAAGTTGCATATCCTGTTAATAACCCTGCAAGTCATTGACTTCCAGGACTTTTACACTTGGTTCACATAATACTAGTGCAGCTTATTAAGAGCCAAAAAGAAAACTAGCCACTTCCAGAACAGTTTGCCTTTGAATACTGTACCTTCCAATCAGTGCTCATATACTACTTTACACTGCAGTTTCTAGCATGCTTTATTGTTTGTAACGTTAAAAAAAAGCCACCTCCAGTTACACTAGGTTTCCATTCAGACTAACCACTTTATACTATAAGCTCAGTTTCACTAAGCATTAGTTTCACAGTTGCTAGACTCTTAGCTCACGTTCTAGGAAATGCCTTGCCATTAAGTGAAGGAAAGGGCTTTCTTCTTCCAGTAAATTAACTGTGTAGATGTGGTCTGACAAGGTGAAACATTGCATTGGTGTTTGTTTCTCACTCAATAGCACAGCTTGGGGTTTTTTTGGTTTGTTTTTTGGGGGGAGGTTTGTTGTTGTTTCTTTTTAAAGTCTTGCAATCTACTACCAATAGGAAATGAGACTGGTCGGTTATTTTTCTACTGCTGGCACAGTACACGGGCTGCTTCAGTCACCTCAGGAAGTATTGCAATTTTCCTCTCTCTTTTATTGGTAGATAATAAAACCAACACTGAAATCCCTGTTGCTTTCAACAGCTTTATTTACTTATTTTCGTAATGCTGCCACTGAGTGACTGTGGTACTAAAATCCAGCGGCATTCTCCTGGAATCGTCTAAAACATGCTTTTATGTGGGTATCTGAACCACAACGTATAGGGATATTATTAGCCAATGGTAATTACAATTATTCACATTTGTGACTAATCATCTGTTCCCCAAGCTTTACATTTTTGATCCTCCACAAACTGGAGTTATATTTCTGGGAGCCAAACAGAAACTATGACCGGACTGATTTTTGCTGATATGAGAGTATTTCTGCCATGCCATTTGAGCTCAGAGAGAGACTTGCAGCCACTATTCCCAGTTTATTTTTAATAAAGTTACACACACAAAAACTGAGCATGTGTCTTGGAGAGAAAATCGACAGCATACATTTATTTAATCCAGTATTGATAATGATAATGATGGTTAGCCTTTACGTAGCTCTTTTCATCTGGAAATAATTAATAAATGGTAGTAGTTAAGAATCAATTCTATTTTGCTGAGAGTGGGATGATCTCTCTTCTACCTTGCTGGGATCCTATGACCCCAGCTGACTTCCTGCCCTTCAGGCAGGGGGCTGGACTCGATGATCTTCTGAGGTCTCTTCCAACCCTAATGTCTATGAAATCTATGAAATCTATCAAATGGCATAAAGCAAGTAAGAGAGCCAGGAGTGTATCCCCTTTTCTCCCCTACTACAAAACCTCCAGTCCACTTCTTTCAGTACTAAACTGCTAACCCAAATCCAAAGTGTAGCATAAAACAAAAGCCCAGTCTTATATTGGGGAGGTTGTGAAGGATATTCCTTCCTAAGCCCAGCAGGTAAACTGCCTGTTGCACAAAAACACAAGAGCTGATAATCCTTAAATTAGCACATATATATATGAATTTTATTGACCCTGTGGCGACCTTATTTTAAAAAATCCACTGATATATTTTACTGGAAGAAAACACTGCATGCCAGCTACCTGCTTTTCAGTAGAAATTCTCTGCTTTTTTGCATACCAAGTAGTTTAAGAGAACAAAGAAAAAGAAAAAGATTGGAACATTTAACAAGCTGTGAAGGAACAGATGCAGTACCTTACCTGGAAATAATCTGTGATGAAGGATCCAAGTTCACTCTTCAACAGACGTCTGAAGGGAGAGAGAACACACCCTATGAACTAAAGGTTTTGCTGGTCATCTCTCACAGATATATTTGCACTTCAATCACCCCCTGAAGTTATTTCAAAGATGTAAGGATAGGTATACCAGAAGGAAAAGAAATCAATCTGCTCACAGCAAGATTCCTTTCACATCGATTCATACCTTCTTCAGCACCAACAGAGACTAGGTCTGGGTAGGCAAGAACATTATACTCCCCGCAAGTCGGTTTATGTGAATCTTATTAACAAAGCTGACAGAAATTTTGGCTCCCAAAAAAGATTTCAAAAGAATTAACTAATTAGTTGAAAGTATATTTTCATTTAGTTTGAATAAAATAAATATTTGTAAAACAAAGGATTTTTCCTCCCCCCTCTCCCCCCAACCATGACATTTCAATTCACTATATTTCTCCACCCTTTCCAGTACAAAAAAAGTTGAAGAATGAGGTACACAATGAAAGTAAAATAAGAGAAAAAGTCCCATTTTTTTCCAGCAGGAAAACGAGAGGTTTTTGTTTGTTTGTTCGTTTTCCCTCAATATGATTACCTCCAAAACCTACAGATTTTTAAGATGGACAGTAGAGTACACAAATTATTGTTATCATTATTGAAACTTCCAAAATGGATTTAAAAAAACAAAACTTTTGAGCATCCTAATAATAATTAAAATGTCAGCTATCACCCAGCTACATTAATACTTGGGTATTAATGAGCAGTGCTGGTAGCTTTCCTTCTACTTAAGATTACCTGACACTTTCCATTATAAGTTCTTGTTTCCTATTACTATATTTACTCAAATCTAAGATGAGGTGCTCCCCCTCAACAGTATAGTGGGAAAAGCCCCTTGTCTTCCATTCACCTACAAAGCAGAGAGGGTGGGAGGCAGGTAGCTGCTGCAGCTCTTACTCTGGCCCTGAACCTGGGTGGGAGCCAGAGGGAGCCACAGTGGCCTCTTGCCCCTGACCCCCATGGGGGGGGGGAGGGGGGAGGGGGAGAGGAAGAGGCAGAGACTGTGGAGTGGACATGGCAGGGCAGAGGCTATGGGGATCTGGAGGTGGGGGGTGCCCATAGCAGTGAAAGAGGCAGAAAGGCTGCAGGGGAAAGAAGTGGGAGGGCAGAAGTCAAGGGCCAGCATGGGTTTGTTGCAGGTAGGTCTTGCCTAACCAATCTCATTTCCTTTTATGACTAGGTGACTTATCACCTGGACAAGGTGGAAGAGGTTGACGTTGTATATCTTGACTTTAAAAAAGCCTTTGATCTGGTATCCCACAATCACCTCTTGGCTAAACTGGCTAATTGTGGCCTCAACCTCACTATGATCCGCTGGTTGGGGAATTGGCTCCATGGTAGGACCCAGAGGTTGATGGTTGACAGAAGTCAATCATCTTGGTGCGCTGTGACCAGTGGGGTCCCCCAAGGCTCT